TCAAGGCCACTCATATGCTTTTCCCTTAGGAAGAATCAATTGAGTTTCAACTAATGATATCATAAACCATTGCCACAAAGGTAATCTACTAAGAAGCACATAATATAATCAATGTAGCTTGTGGGACGAAGTCATAAGTCGAGATGAGAGAATTTAGTGGATTTCATAGTCTACTTATGGACAATTTCGAATTATTTTTGAAATAAACTTCTTGATTTGTACATAACACCTTCCTCCACCATCATAGTATCTTCGACACAAGCATACATCATCCTCCACTATTGTGATATCTTCCCCAAAGGCATAACATCTTCCCCTTTTATCATAGCTTGTTCTCAAGATGATGAGGTCTAATCCTCAAGATCTTTGGATGGCCTTCAGTGTATGAGACTTTATATTATTTTTTGTGCATGTAAACACTATAGTGGACACACATATAGTTAAGTACACACTTGGGGATACGTGTGCATGCAATTGCCATAGTAGACAATACCACCACAATAGAGACACTAGTATCAATTACAATGAAGCATGAGAGGAAAAACTACTGAAAGCTATGTGTATGAGGATGAAAATTAGTTCATGATGACAACTATCAATTAGAGTTCACAAGTACTAGAAGACTTCCAAGACCTGCAGCTCAATTCACTTTTTGACATGCCTACTACCTCACTATGAGGTAGAACATGGGATAGAGCATGTGCTAAGCTTAGTAGTGTGCATGACAATGTGGACACTTTAAAAGCTGGCACCACACATTTGGACTAACTACATCAACAATTTACAAGTTTCTTGTGGCTAGAATTATTTGACCCTTTAAGGCCATTTATCAATACACATCCTCTTTTGTAAGAAGAAAGATGATTTACTCAAGGTATATTTCAATTATTAGGTGCTTAACAAAGTAGAGATGGAACACAAGTATCTAATATCAAATGTAGAAGGGTTTTTCAATCTAAAAAAATGAGCTTAGTACTTCTCTAAGAAGGACATGAAGAGTGACAATTATTAAACTTACATTTGAAAAATGAAGAGTCATTACACATCAAAAAGTTCACCGTGATACACCTTGACCTTGCCAATACTGTAATAATAGTTTACACCTAGATAAACAATATATTTAGATATTTCATTGGTAAATCTGTATATCTAGATAAAGATGGAGTTTAAAATTAAGTTAAGATAACTTTTCAACAGATTTCCAAGAGGTGTTCACAATATAAACAAACAAATAGTTGTACTTCAATTCAACCAACTATAAATTACTAATATAAGTTGTATTAATTTGCTGATTATTATGAGCAATGAGATATGAAAACAATGGGTGAAAGTTTATGCCATCAATGACAAGGCATTTCTTAGTGGATCTAAATGCATACATAGCGATTCCAAGTTGATGAAACCTCTTACATACCTACTAAGAAGGGCATGGCATTTCTTAGTTGGATGAATGAATGTCATTGCTCGTTCAGCAACATAAAAAATGTCACAAGTGACACATTCATGTAGTTGACTAACTTTTCATGACCCTTTGAAATGTACTTTTCTCTCTTAAGTATATTTATCTATGGGCACTGATGTGTGAATGACATCTAATAGCATAGAAGAGTCATAAATTGAATAAGATATGGGGGTATAACATCCACAAGCAGGAGATAACAATAGTTTGTCCACTATATTCAATAAGGTAACACTATCTCTTTGACAGCATATTAATAATTTCTACTAACAATGTGACAAAAGTTTCTATCAGTTGTGGTAGAAACTCACACTTAAGTGAGATTGAGGAACTACCTAATAAGTAAAACTTCATCATCAACTACAAGGCAAGTCAATTTTGTTCAATGCCCTCAAGTCTAATCCACACAGAACCTTAATAAATGCATTATAAGTAGAAAATGACAAAATGTTGAATGAGACTCAAGTTTCACTTTCAAAGAAGGGAAGTGAATTAGTGAATTGGTTTAAACATTTAGATTACATTTCTTTGTATTTTTCTAGCTATTTTTGTTGTCAGTCAACTCATACTAATTTTTTATACAAATCTTATATTAGGTTAACATATCTATCAAGTGGGTTGATACAAATCATTTTTGGGTAAACTCAAATGAATATCTATACGTAAAAATCTTAGACTATATTGTGGTTTAGTCTCCCCTAACCTAAAATTACTTTTTATTGATCTCAATCTTGGATCCACTATCCTCATATGGAGAACATAACTAATTTAGAGGATTGACCCCATATTTTTTACATCATCTGTCTACTTGGGTTATGTATCCTCACACCAAGCATCAAGGTCCCAATGCACCTTTAAACACTTGCTAGAGCTCCTCCAAGTGCCTTCACTTGTGAGAGTAGTAATTGTGAATTTAAAATACTTTTGAATCATTGACTAGCACTTTTTTTGTTAACTGAAAACTTTGAAGATGAGGAGAAAGCTTTACACTTTTAGTAAATTGGACAAGAAGAGGACTTATCTTTTGTAGTTGTGCCACTCTTTTAAGGGTGGTAATAAGGGTTTATTTATGTACCCCTTAAATTTGATTATTCAAACTGAGATGTGTGAGTCTTCTAAGTTGATTTTCTTTTAGGTAGGCCATGGGTAGACCAACATTATGAACTATGCAGTAAAACTAATTTGATATAACCATTAAAGTATTTTTTTGGCTCATCAGGTTCCTATGTGTTTGTCAAATCTTCTAACATGTGTTGATGTATCATCTTTAGATGGTTATTAGGACCAACTTTTAAGAAAATTGAATTTGAATCAATGTTAGAAGTAATTAAATCGAACAAAAATATTAAATCAGGTTTTTGAATTTATCTCACGATTTTTTTCCTAAATATACATATTAATCTTGAGAAAGCTTTATTCAATCTCCAACCTATGCTCGGACATGATCTCTTCCAACTTACAGTCTTGAGAAAATATTATGTTTTCCTGGTGACAAGTGTATCCACGAAGCTAGAATTTTCTTCTAGACTTGATGAAATTACAGAAAATGTCCTAGTGGGAGGTTACCGGCCTGACAATGTCAAGCCCAGCATTGGGGAGAAAAGGAGCCCTAGGACAGGGGAGAGAGGTTTTTGCGACAGGCCGAACATAACCCTGTGGCAACAATGGCATTCAGCGGGTGAAGTGACGGCATAATTCAGCGTTATTGGCGTGCTCTCCTCTTGAGTGACAAGAGAAGGTGAGCTCAGCAACGATTGTGAGCACGGCAAGGTGGAGGCTGACAGTGGCAAGGTGGAGCTCTTATCCCTAGCTACTATCTCTCCCTCTATGTGACAGGCTGGAACAGGATAAGCAGCAAATAGGGAACGTCAAAACTCTTAATTTTAGATTTAGATCGTGATTAGTATTTAGTTATTGTTATTTTAATCATGTGGGTGACAGTCACATGATAGATTTAAAGTTTACTTATGCTTTGGCTTTAGTTGATGACTCAATATTTAGGTTCCTTTCATCTTCTTATTTCTATCCTTGTGTTGATTTTATATATAATTTAATTCGTTTCAATATAAATATTCTCTTAACCCTTGACTTTGAGTTCAAATCTTCATTGTCTAGAACTAGCTTAAAAATGAGTAGACTGCTCATGTCTTGTTGACAAAGATAGGAACGTCCTAATCTCTCTCTCTCTCTTTCCTTCTAAGTTCTTATTAGCCCAATAAATATTGAAGGACCGAATTTAACATTGAAATAACAGCCATCTGTGAGAATTAACCTGAACCCACTAAAGTTTTTAATCCTAATTTTTATTTTGAGTTCAGTTATGAATATTAAAATTGACATCTTTTAACTCAATGACTAAGTGGTGAATCAGCACAACATCCTTCTGACATGTCATTAGGCATTATTTTTCTTAGACATTTTTTTATTTTTCAGATAAGTATTTCACTTCTCTTTTCATGTGTCATATTTGACTTTGACTATGTGGCATGTCAATAGATGATGCCTCATGTCATCTTTGTTGTAGCTTTTTCTTGCTGATCTTATGTCAAATAAATTTTCACGTGTCACCTTAACTTAACTTTGACTTTGACCTGTCAATAGATGATGCTATATGTCATCTTGACTATAATTTTTTTCCTATTTTGTGATAGATAACTTGCCTGTGACTTTGACTTTAACTTTGACTATCATGTGTCATTTCCTTGATATTTCTTTTTTGTCTAAGAATTTGTGGACCTATGGTTTGACATAACATGTTTCACTAATATTTTTTTATTTTAACTTTATACTAATCTCATTTGTTTGCGGAGATAATTCTTGCCATGAAAAAAATGTTTAGACAACAGCAACATTAGACAACTTTTAGATCTCAAGTACAATGTTAATATGATTTATGTAAACGGCACATGACTGACCATGAACTTTAAAGGTATTTTTCATGCGCATTTAAAAGGCACGGCATATTACAATATGTATGGAGCTCATAGTTTTACACACGTGAATACAACATGAAGGGCAGAAGTCTCACCAGGCCATCACTCAGTGGGAACCTCAAGACTGTGTGTACTCGTTTTTCCCCTATAAATGGGGCAGACCACCTAGTTGGGTGTCGCCGAGGATGATGAACCCCCAGTCGTACAGATTGATAGTGTGTGGGAATAGAGTACCGGCGTGACACCCCTCGCGTCTCCTCGTCATCGTCAGTATTTGAGAAGTAGTGGCTCGATAATCCATGTGGCCCATCATACGGCTGCTCTCCAACCCCAATGGGCCCACTTCGCGACAACTGGGGCGCATAAAATATATGCGTGCGTAGGTTCGCTACCGGCTTTCACGCAGCTGGCGACGACTCTGGCACCGTACCGAGCTACCCAATAAGAGACCGTGGAAGTTCCCACGTCGGAGAGTCAACCTGACCGCCGTCTCCTCGACGCGTGGTGGCAACTCGAGGGAGTGATGTGGTGGGGTCCATCCGCCTTGGTCCACCCTCTTCTCCTCCCTCGACCAGTCGCCCACGTCAGGAGGAAATTGGGGCGGGGTATCACTTCCCCTCCGGCGGGTTCACTTTCGTCGCTGGGGCGATCGGGACGAACCTCGAAGAGAACCCGCGGTAGAAATTTTCGTCGTCATCCCCGTCGAAGGCCTTCTCCTCGAAGTTCTGAGCGTAGCTGAGGGGGTCGTACCTGCAGCTCCCCGGGCTCAGCCGGCGCTGGTGCCCAAATCGGAGGGCTATCGACGCAGACTTGAGCTGGTGCCACCGCTCGCCCCCTCGCCTCCGAAGCCGCCGCCAGGGAAAGGCCCGCTGAAGGAGCGCCCAGCAGGAAAAGAGGCCGTAAGGCGGCTGATTACGCTCCCCTTCGGCTTCTCGAACGGGGGGTAACCCCTCCTCCATGGTTCCCCTGCCTCTTCCTTCCTCGCCTTCCCTGTTCCCCCACTCCCTCCTCTCTCTGTTTCCTCCTCTCTCAGGTTGAATCCTGTAGGAACAAAGGTAAAGGAGAACAGGAGTCAGGGAAGATATAAACGAGAAGAGGTGGCACTGGCCCAACTCCCGCAGCCAAAATAATCTTATCGCCCTTGGGGAGTGAGTGACCAAGAAAAAAAAATAAAGGGTTCCTGTCCGAAATATCGCCGAGAGAGACAGGTGTGGAAGGGATTATTGAGAGGGACGCAGGGGGGTAGGGGGAGGCTGGAGCTGCAGTGGAGGGCTTCGCGCAGGGGGAAGCTCAGGGTTTTCCCGCGAAAGGCGGGCGTGCGTCCCTACCGCCGTGGATGCCGCATCGTCGATTCGAAGACGCCGCCCACCATGTGAGGTCAACTCCCCCCGACATTCGTATGCCTTCACTGGCTTGCTTTGCGTCCACACACGTTACGTAGGCCAAACGAAAGGAAGCGGAGACGAATTTGCGGAACAGCTGTCGCTTGTGGCATTTGATGGGACGGTGAGAGGGGCCTCCTTCCTTTCTTCTTCGACCTCCTCTCGGCAGGATTTTTCGGTTTTGATTTGTCCATCTCCCTACGTCGCATAAAACGCGAGGTGGATAAGATGCAGTTTCGGTCTAACAAGTGCCACCGCCCCTCTTTATCAACTGGCTGAGGGGCCAGCTCCCACGAGCTCCACCCGTTTCCATCTCCGGTGGCCCGGCGGCCTGTAACTTCTCGTCCCTCTGGTCTTGCTGCTCTCAGTACAAAAGAGAAACGACAGAGAAACCCTGGGGAGTGAAGAGGGCGATCGTCCGGCTTGATGGGCCAGTCGGAGACGAAAGATAAAGGGAGCCCTGGAGGGAGGATCGGTCCCTGGATGAATGGATTCCACCGGTGGCGTCCCCTCAGTCGGGATCTGGAATCTTGGAGATGCTCTTCCGTGGAACATGGGTAGATGGGCGGCCCCCATCATGGCGTATGCTAACCATGGGTCGTTGTTTTTTGAGGCGAGGCTGGGGAACCCATCGCGGCGGAGAAGAAATACGTTCGTATTAGGCCGATGGTCAACGAACGGACAGTTGGCCCAAACGAGTAGTAGCAACACAAATAAGCACCTCCATCCGGCCCAACGAGTATAACAGCGCTAACGACCGGACAGTGAACCCATCTGCGACGGAAACAGAAATAATGAATGGTTGGTTGGTCCAGTAACCGTAAACCGGTATTAACCATCCGGCACGCATATATAACAGCCAACTTGAAGCAGGAGCAGGAGAAGGATTTCTTTTCTCCATTCTTCCTTGTTATCCTTTCGTCAGTCCTGTTCTCCTCAGCAGACTGTTGTCTTCTATTCTGTCGGGAAGGTCTGTGATGGCTCAATCTTCTACGAAATACAAGTCAATTTTTTCTCCTGCTTGTCTCAAGAGGAAAATTGGGCCGCCACCAGAATGCTCCACTACGGTCTCCTCTTGCGAGCTGCAGAATGGTGGAAGCGTCAGTCTGTGAGGTACTCTTACGCTTACGGGGCAGAGCACCGTCGCCGGACTCAGATCTCCAGTGGTACTGTATGCGAATTGCGAGCACAAATGGGAGGAAGAAGGTAATGATGTCAGGAGGATTCCTCCTCTTCCGCCATCAGAGTTTATCTAAAAGAGAAGATGAACTCAGATGGGCTGCACCGATCTCATGTCCAAGCTGATTCTGCGGATCAGGTGAAGAAGTCGCCCATGACTAATGAAACAGAGCAGACAAAAGATGTGAAAAGACGCCGAAAATGGGCGCCGTGGTGGGGTGGGTGTGCCCCCCCCCCCCCCAACGAATGGGAGGAAGATGATGGACAGACGACGGAGACCAAATAAACTGTATTCTTTACAGTCATACTGTATTCTTTTATTTATTTATGTATATATTATTTTATCTTTGCAATTATACTTTTGTTCTCAAGTGTGTTGGATCTGGTTTTGGCATAAGTAAAACCAATTAATCGGGTCAAACCCACCAAGTACGGACTCTTATTAAAGTCTGTATCTATTTCTGAATTAATCTAAATCCAAATATTATCACCATTACATTTATCTCTACTAGATCATGAGCCGGTTCCCAAAAAATCTTGGACATCTTTATAGTTACCCAAATAGTAAAAGAGTTGCCACAAGTGATGCATCACTTTTTAACATAGTAGGCATAGGAAATGTAAAAATAAACTTTTTAGGCAGAATTTTACATGCCTCTAGACTTTCTATTGGTTTTATCTTTGAGTAAAAAACTAATTGACAATATAAATTATAGGGTGACTAACATTTATGATGTTTATGATGAGGTAACAAACAAGAAAATTAGATGTGTTAAAGAGTGTGGAGAGTTTTATCAAGATGTGGAGTTTCCAACCCCACCGCACCTAATGATTTTTTGTTGTATCATCATCATCTCCTATCATCTATCTTTTGAGATTTTAAAAATTATGTTTATAAACTTAGTTTTTAAGATGAATGTTGAGAATTTGAAATGTAGTGTATGTGAATTAGCTAAACATGAATAAGTTTATTTTCCTATGAAAATTGAATGGAATTCCACCCCATTTGCACTTATTCATTGTGATGTTTCGAGACTATGACATATTCTTAACATAAAGGAAGAAAGATGGTTTGTGATTTTTATAGATGACTGATATCACTTTGGTTGTTGTTAAGAAAATGATTAAATTTTAAATATTTCTAAGCCAAATTCAAAATAAGAAATAAAATTAAAATTTAATGAATTAAGGTAGTCCATAGGGATGATGGTCAATCTCAATATCAATTTTTGTTCTAAACTATTTATTAAAATTAAAAGAAATAAAAAATAATAGAAAATAATAAATAAAAAAATATCTTTAAATCTTCCACAAAGGCTTGAACTCTAAATCTTTTTAATTTGAGGTTTGCCCAACTTAAGCATTGATAAATGACTCAAAATGTGCAAATATTCTAGAGAAACTAATAGAGAAAATCATAAAAAGTTAAAAAAGTAAATGAGGAAAAATAAACCTAAAACTAGGAAAAGCAGGGGAGGAGATGTAAAATATGATTTTCTGTTGGATCTCCAGGCCAATGGTGAAATGGTAAAATATCAGATGATTTGAAAAATAAGTAAAAAAAATGAGAAATCATCTGAAATAAATTGATCTATATGATTTTAAATAAGTAAAATATCATCATAAAAACTAAAGCAATGAAAATAACTATTGAAAATAAAACCAAAACCTAAAATCATCTCTTGGCAAGGTAGATCCTATAGTGGAAAAATGGAAAATGATTTCGATTGAATTCATTTAAAACTTACATAATCTATGAAACTAATTTTGTTTATCAAGGTAACTTTCATTAGATTCATTAAAATAGTATGAAAAATTATTAATAAATAAAATGAATGTACAAAATTGTCCATGTTTTTTGCGTAGAAACGTAGTACAATTGTGGTAAAAAAAGGCAATAGAGATATGATTAAGTAAGTGATAAAAATGTGAATTAGAAGGCTTAATCTAGTTGCCTATCTTTCTACTAGAAGAAGAACTAAACTCAAATAGAAATAAAGGCAAATCAAAGTAGGAATCCGATTCATAGCGTAGTCAATAGGGGCGAGAAAGAAGGCTAATCCATCACCATAATCTATCATATTCGGATTCTGAATCACAAAGAAGGAGAAGTTTGTGTTCAAACTTGCCAGATTCCCAGTTTCGTTGTCCCAGAGGCAGATTGGGTTGCAGTAGAAGGCTCAACCATAGCTGTAGTTGTCGTCGTCGTTGAGCTCTAGAGAGCCATCAGCAGATGAGGCATTGGCCACGAAGGTGATGTTTGCAGGGGCTGGAGTCAAACAAAATAAAACATAAACACAAATAAAATTTGATATCTTAGTCATTTAATTCAAAGAATTATCAATGCCATATATATATAAAAAGATAACATATATCTTTGAAATGTAGTAGGGGCATTAGATAACCCAAAAGATATTCTTCTGAAAGCAAATGTCTCAAACAGACAAGTGAATGTAATTTTTCTTAACCTTTAGGGAATATAGTTACTTGATTGTATCTTGAATACCCATCTAAAAAATAAAAATATTTTTGAACTGTGAATTTTGTCAAAAGTTGATCAATAAAAGGTAGAGAAGAATGATCTTTCTTTATTATTAGATTTAATTTTCTATGCTCAATGCATACTCTCTAGCTAGTAGTAAACCTTGTTTCTAATTCTTCTCTTTTATTATTCTTAACCATTGTTAATCTAAACTTATTAAGGACGACCTATGTAGGGTTAATCTATTGACTATCAAAAATGGGGTAAGAAAATTATGCATCTAATCATTTTATCACGTATTTCTTGAAAACTTATTTTATGTTACGATTTAGTCTCTTCTATCTCTCATGGTTGCTTTTAGCATGTTCTTCTAAATAAATATGAGGCATAGAAACTCTATGATCAATCCTTTTAAGGTCAATCATTGTCCAACCAATGGCTGCCTTGTTAGATTAGAGGCTATAATCATATGTAAAGTTTGATTGGATCTTAGAAATGTAAATTTAAGTGACTATGGGAGATTCTTGAGTTCTAGCAAAGGAGTTAGTGCTTCCTCTTCATTTCTAGTACCAAATAAATTTTCTGATTTTCTTTCCACAAATTCTACTTATAGTGATAATGGGTGCAATTTCTCTAAAAGTTGTTCTTTTAATTATCACACACATTCTTCTATTATATCCACTATACGATTTCATTTTTCTTCATTATACAGATATTTTGATGCTCTAAAAACATTTAGAGCCATAGTTTCATATCCACATGTTATTTTTACTATCGTTGGAGGACAATCAATGTTGGTTCTAGCTATGTTTAAAATAGATGTCCTAAGATTGTAGGTGTTTCACTCAACTCACTTGGGGCATCCATGTCTAAAACTAAAAAGTTTGCAAGAAATTTAGAGCCTTAAACTATAAAA